ACCCTGAAACATAAGTTGACAAGTCCCATGTGCCTGTAATTTCACCAGCACTCTTACCTTACGAAACTGGAACGCAGTAATGTTCACATTACTGCTTGGCGGCAGAAATAGGTAATGTGGCAGTACTTCCTTGAACGAACTCTTTCACAAAGAGCTCTAATTCTACTAATAATAACTAAATGTTTGTGTGAGGAATTTAAAGCAAATGAGTGGCAAATGACAGCATTTGCGCCATAGCAATTTATTGATGTTCCTCGTTAATGTCTCGAAATGATAGTAAATTTAAACAAAAGTTCCTTTGGTCCTTACCATTCCTCACGGCAGATACATATGGTTAATTGTGTGTAAAGATTATATATTTTTCTTTTATGATATTCAAATCGGCCTACAATTACACGGTCTACCTGAACCCTCGGTATTCGTTCTGAATCCAAGACTACAAATGTAGAAAACTCGGTCTCACTTCAAATGTCGCTTGGCCACTAAGTCCGATTCCAATCCGAGAAAATACGAATATCGCTTGTACATCTAGAGTTAAAACGATCCCTGTGACATTTCGGACCGTCATTTCTCGGATTCGGAACTGATATGATACGGACGTTGTTGTGCGCAAACGGTCTGAATCTCTTGCGTCTGTGATCGCAATGGCTCTTGCTACCTTTCAATCTGGAATAGTGCAGCTGCTTTGCGAGGGAAACAACTTGTAGGTAGGGCTGACGGCAACTATCCAGGCGGGTTCTGCACTGAGACAAAATCCTACCAAAATATATTGTTTATAGTTAATTCTTTGATTAGTTTTAGTTCTGTTTGTTTCTATTGTATTTATTTATGCGGTTGCAACAAAAATGTACTGAATTGAATTGAAAATTGAGTGTGAAGTCATCTGTAGGTATTTCAATTGAATTAAATGTTACTGCTAGAGCTTAGGAATTCAATAAGATAACGTTACTTTGTGTAACGATATTGTTACTTGAAAAATGATTATTGGCCATTCAGCAAGTGCACATCGCACATAGAACCAAACACTGTTGTAACTAAAAAACGATGGAATTGAGAAAACACGACTTGAAAGTTCAATAAATTAGTGAATGGAACCAATACATTTATATGCTCGTTTATAAGTTGATAAGTAATTATTATGTATAAATAGAAATAATCCCATTTTTTTACGCACATACTCTTAGCCCTAGGGTAGCCCAGTGTTGCGGGACTCGGGACCTCTGCGTATGGTAATTGTTCGACCACGGAGGCAGTTTTTAGCATTATTCACAATAAGACTTACTCAGTATTTTTTTAAATTTCCAAATCGTGTTTTGTCAGTCAGTCAGTCATCATTTTTGAGTTCCGACATGGTTCCGAGAGTATTTGTTTTTATGTGCGAATAAAGAAAACATTAAGATTGAAATATGGCTACCTCCTTTCTGTTGTTTGTTTCATGAATTAATTGAGTATATTTAAAGATGTAACAAAGTCATAATAATAATAATAACGCACACACTCAACAAAGCCCCGCTTTAAGGAAACCACAAATTACACACAAACTCACGAGATGAATAAATGTAGGCCATACAAATATTTCTCCCAGCCCGCTAATCGAACTTGGGACCTCTGCGTGGCATGGTAACCGTTCGGCCACGGAGGCAAAGGAAAGGTGGTTCGACTATGAGTGATTCCGTAACTTAGACAACAATGGAGTATATTTGAAGTACAACAATAAAAATTGTACAGTCATTAAGATTGAATACAAGATGATTGTCAATGCTTACTCGGATTATATGAAAGGTCACATCACATGCTTTTGCCATTGGATGGAGAATGGACGATGTGTTTTCCGGTTCGGCCTTTCGAGTGGGAACAAAGACAAACAACGCACAATTAATCGTGATTTCTTTTATAAATATTCTAATATCATTCGATATTTAAATCTTACACCCACATTTCATTCCTTTATTTTTAAAGCCGTATTTAGATCGTAGAAATGAGTAATGGTAATTATATCACAATTTCCCAACAGTTCTTTTTTGTGTAGTTGTTATCTTCTGCATAAGGCAGTCGTATTTTATTAATAGATCATGACATTGTACGGAATTACAAAAGCAAAGATTGTATTTGTATGACTAAAAGCCCACAAGTCTTGAGAAATGTCTTACTCATGATATGACATGCTCCCATTTCATTCCACAATATTACGTAAGTGTAAGCTTTGCAAGTGAAATAATGTGGATTTGTCTAATTACACTCGTAATTGCCTTTTTTAATGTACTCTTCTTTCACACAAAAGTACATGTATATGAAAGGTTGCAGATTCTTTATGAGGGCTTACAATATCAAATCCACAGTAAGTACCATTTTATTTTATCGAATAAATATATATAAATATTAGACAACTTCATATACGTACGTTGCTCTGATCTCAATGTAAGTAGCTCAAGCACTTGTGTTATGGAAATCGGAAATAATGATGGTACCACAAATACCCAGACCCGAGACAATATAGAAAAGTCAGTTTCCTTCAGTCACCCGAGACCTCAGAGATGGCGGCACCATGAAAACCGGTGTGCAAGCCTTTCGGCCATGGAGGCCAACAACTTCTTCGACAACAATTGAATATCATGATGTTATTACTACCATAATATCCATATATTTTTTGTGAAAATATATCACTAGTTTGATACAAAGATCGAACAAACCTGTGACTGTGACCCAAACCGGGGTTATAGCTCTCCCGAGTTAGCAGACCTAGTGATTTCACTGTGTCCGTCGCTTTGTTTTTTAGAGAAATATGTAACCACTGTAAATGCAAATATGAGCATTTACAGTAGTTACATATTTCTCTGACTACTTATGATACAAAATAATTACAATTAAATAAATACATTGATAAAATCATCCAACTTCTTGTGCTCGGTGCTTGTGATCCAAAGAATTTATGCTCCATTATCATATCCTCCATAATCACGTCATGTAATGTCATTGTTACTACAGTGATGTGTTATAAAGTTAAAGCTTTGGAGCTATACCAGTTACACTTCTGTTGAAGATTGTATTGTTTTGTATTGTTTGTTTGTATTGTAATTGTATTGTATTTTCTTTGTAATTCTTGTGATATAATTTCTCTCGCTCATCACGCCATGCAGCAATTAAAAGTTTACTTTAGCAGTATAGATATTAAGTTAATATTCGGTTAAGGTTGCGCACTAATATTATTGGATGTTTTTGAAACCCTAAACATATTAGTATCAAACAGAATAACCGTTTTGACTAATCAATTTAAAATTTACCTTAGTAGTATAGATATAAAATGAGAAAACTTGCTTTAAAAAACAATACCGTATAGAATTGAGCAACTATGAGAAAAATTGCGATAAATAGAATTTTCAACCTTAAAATTAATGTATTAACTGTCAACATTAATGTTCGTGATATTGTTTTTTAAGTACCTCTGTGGCCGAACGTTTACCACGCTAGACTGCCACGCATCCCGGATTCGATTCCCGGACCGAGAGAAATGTTTGTATGGCCTACATTTATTTCTCTCGTGAGTTTGGGTGCAATTTGTGGTTGTCTACCTATGTGTGTGTCCATGGCACCCGCGATACAGGGTTTCTCTAGTGCGTGGCTATGAATGTGTGCGTTGTTTATTTATTATTATTATTATACAATTCTGAATCAACCCTGTGGCACGCGGTGCTCCAAAGCCTCGGGGGCTTGTCGTTGTTTAAAATACATGTATTTACCTTTACCATAGACCACATTAAACTTTACACTTAAGTTTAACTGTCACAGTGTAATGCCTAACACGTTGACAGGGCAATGAATTTGGGCGTATGAATAGTCGTCTACGGAAATTCATGACGAAATATTCTTTTGCTGCAAGTGCAACGAATATGACCTAGAGCTAGAACTATGCAATAATTTGTAACGTCAAACGTTATATTAATCCTATGTCACTTGCAGTATATTACACATTACAGTACTGTTTTTTTTATTATCCAAAAAATAATAATTTACAGTGGTTCTTTAATTTAACTTACCTACTGCAATTCCTTTAACGGGTTTGTACGTAGGCGGTTACAGTCATCCATAACGCGCATTCTTTTGAGAAAAAATATTAAATTAAAGGAAAAATGAAAGAAATTGTACATTTCTATTTCAATTTTCTTTATCAAACTTAAAAATTGTTAATAAAAATGTTGCAATAACTAAATATCATTTTGTGTTATTAGTCTTTGTGGTTAAAATATGCAATTTTATTTTTATTAATATAATAATCAGTCAAGGCAAAAGGAAGTTTGTAATACGTCCGCAATCTTTTGGTATTGACTCTTATATCATGTTCTGTTCGATAAAGTGAAGCAATGTCTGACTCACGCAAAAACGATCAAAAAACCGATTTCACGATTACAACGAGACTTTGGCGTTTCCTTAGGTATGCGACGCGATAGTTGTGTGAAAAACATTGAACAAAAATTAGTCGATGTCGAGACGGGTGCCTCAAATTCGATTAATTTTCATTCAATGTCTGATGAATCTGAATCTCAAAATCTCAATGGTCTAAATTTAACCTATATTCTGACCGTTGAGATTTTCGAGTTTGATTTCTTAATTTTACTACCTACAAGCTACGAAGCCTATCGAAGTCCGAATTTCTAACAAATTGTGAAAACACACAATGTTATGTTAGCCTCTCGAATTTACGGAAGAGTGCAGTGAGCAACATCATCGTAGTAAATCAAAACACACAATGTTTTACTACAGAATGATGACAGGTGACAAGTTGATTTTACGTCTCAAAACATTTGTTTTACAGACAATGGTATGTTTATGTTATTACCATCGTAACCATTGCTAAAACTATATTGGTAATGAAATTCAATGATTATGTGGTTAATGGTACAATAGTGATTAAAAACGGGGCACATGGATCCTTAGGCGATAAGGGGTTAGAAAAATAAAATGTAGAGTTACTTATAAAATTAAAGTTTCAAAAAAATACCCACCTTGTAAAAACACTGAAATTTATGTATCTCCTAATATGGCACAGGGGTTGGCACAAAACATCACAAATAGGCACTATACGTGTGTTGTGTCACTTCATCACTTTCTGGTTCACAAGATCACTTCACTGAGGGGTGTGCACTGGCACATGGTCGCTATCGTAAGGTGATTCGAGTCGTATGGTTGTCATAAATAAATAAAAATCGGTCGTGTTTGGTCGAAGGCTCGGGCCGGACTGGCTTGTTGTGTTGCGGCGGGAAGGCGGTGTGTTCAAGGTCCCGACGGCCGCGGCCAGCGCACGCGCACGTACCGAGGCTTATCGTCGCGTTGTCGTTCACGACTCGCTCGCCTCGTCATTACATCGCAGATCGCGGGGAATCGTCACGAACACCACCATTGCTGTCTTATTCATGTTCTATTGACAGTTGCTCGGGGATCTCGTGTTCTCTCTTAGATTTTCTATGAAATATTCATTATGTATTCAGCGATGAATCTAATCTCAACTACGTTATATTCAAAATGATCTTCTGGCTAACAAATTCGCGATCACATTTTTTTTTATGATACCAATTGACGGGCCAAACAAGTCGTGGGTGTCGTGGTACGCGACATGTTTGTCCATAACAATTGCAGTGCCACACAGAGCTTCAAATCACAAAGATCTGAGGGATACCGCCACTGCGCCCGTCACCCCGAGACATAAGTTGACAAGTCCCATGTGCCTGTAATTTCACCAGCACCCTTACCCTTAAAAACAGGAATGCAGTAATGCTCACATTACGATTTGGTGGTTTTAATAGGTAAGGTGGCTACTGCCACTTAGTACCTAAGGGATCCCTGGACGAGTTCTTTCACAAGGAGCTCTACTGCTACTATATATACAAAGGTCGTCTGTGAAGTACCTGGTCTATTAACACAACTTCATAAACATATCATGTACATCCTTCTATTGTGCCGTTATGTCTGTAACAAGGAAGTTCGGAAACACTTATCCTTATGAGCAATTCTAAGACATATAGGTAGGTTTATTAAAGTATGTGACATACCACACGTATGTGCACGTCTGTCCGCGTGATCAACTACATGTATAAATAAGAACATGTAAAAATAAATACTCATTACGCAACAATACGTCTTGTAGACGATTACGACTTATTTACAGTTTCTACAAAAAAACCTTGTGTTTCACGCGCATTAATGTCACTTTGGTCTTAGGTATGCTACATATGCCTGTTAGGTCATGGATAAAACTCATGTACAAAAAAATGTGAATATATTTATAATTTTGCTTCTCAGGGAAGTCAGCGTAGTGAAGTCAGAGTCAGCTTTAAAATAAAGTTTTCAAGTGTAAATTTATTTTACCTATGGAATAAATGATTCTTTAACTTTGACTTTGACTTGATATTTTAGTTTTTTCGATAAAACATTTTGAAACATTTTCTTTTCTCTTGAAGATTTTGAAATTGTTTTTCGCATGACAGATACCCGTATTTTAAAACAACAACTATTATAAAAGTCCACTTCAGTAATATTTACTTCTAAGGATGTCCACTTAAGTACATATAGGTAGTTACAAATACTTATTACATACTTTCTATAAATCCATAAGTTACTCTATATTATTTATTTTTCCTTATTTCAAGTAATTTTACAGACAGCAATGAATCCAGTACAAAGGACATCAACGAGGGCATAGGCACATAAATGTTTTCGTTAAATGTTTAAAATTGTTTTAACTAGAGTTTAGAAGATGTCCAATTGAAAACCTTGTAGATATAAAGATAAATAGCTAGAGAATATTAAGGAAAGTACACTAGTATTAGCAACTTAAAAAATATATAAATCTAGTTGTGCTTTTATAAAAACAAAGCAAAATTATTTTATTAGGCAAACGAAGTTACAAGTTGAGTTATGGGTACACAAAAATGGTTCGAAATTTGTCATATAATATATACCATACGATTAGTGGGTAACACTACCTATCTGTATCATTACCTAGATATACCTACCAATTGCTATCAGCGTATAAATAACAAATACGTCACTAGTTAGAAGATCCACTAAGAAATCATATCACAGCAAATGTTATTCGAGTTGCAGTAACGCATGTCGTATCACCTATCACATCGATAAATAACACGTTATCGCACCCCTATTATTATAGTACTGAACACGTTATTCATAATACGTACTTATCGACTGTGGTAACATGTACTTACTCTCACGTATCACGTGCAGGTTGTTAGAGACCGTTGATATTGCATATCTTGCACTGATTTACTAATTGGAAATTTGACAATGATTGCTTTCAACTAACATTAAGAAAAAGATCTGAATTGACGTTCAAATTTGAAAATAGAACAGATCCGCTGAAAAAAATAGATATTTAAAAAATCAAGAGTTAAACAACAGCTATACTCACGACGTCAAAATCTGTTAATGGTGCTATGCAAATTACATTATAACAGGTTTTCGTTAAACACAAGAAGGTATCCATAATCATTAATGTTGCGAAAATTCTAAATTTCGAATACGAAATTTGGCTTTTCGCAAGCTTATATGAGTTGTTTTAAGTAATAAAATTTTCTGAATCGAATACCTATTTCGCTTACCTACAGCCATTGTGGATAAATAGTAGATTACTGATAATTCAGACTGCTCAATGGAGACTTTCGGGTCTGTGACGTTGTGCCTTTATACAAAAATAAAGAGTAATAAGAGTAATTAAAAAGGTGTTAGTAAACCAATGTACTAATGACATAATGACGATTTAGTAGCAGTAAAAGAATTCATCCAGGGAAATACTGCCACTTTCCCTATTTCAGTCGCCAAGCAGTAATCTCAGCATTACTGCGTTCCGGTTTTGAAAGCACATGGGACTTGTCAACTTATGTCTCAGGGTGACAGGCGCAGTGGCAGTGCTCCTCAGATTTTTGCGATTTAAAGCTTTGAGTGGCACTGCAACTGTTATGGATAGGCGTGTAGCTTACCATAAGGGGTACAATTTGTTCATCCAGTCAGTTGATATTATAAAAAAAAGTTAATCTGCTATTGACTAGCTCTCTAGCCTGGCCGCTAGCTTTCTAGGTGAATGAATGATATTTATTTGCTTAAAATATGGTTTACAATATGTGGTACAGGGTCAAGAGCACGTCAAGCTTGACACTTATGGTTTAATCCAACTCTATGCCGCTTACGATAAGAACGGTCCAAAGTACAAAGTGTTAAGCGTGATGTGCTCTTGACTGTACAAGTATACATAATAAATCAGTACTCATATTTTGCCGCCATCGGCATGCAAATCTATGGACGTCAACATTTGGGCAGCTAAACAATTCTAAAGCAGTCCTATTATGTATAAACATAACATATTATAATAGTCAGTTATTGCCATGTCATGAAGATGTCAAGGTGTTGGGTGACGAGGTCCTGGATTCGATTATATGGTAGGACCAAGAAAGTGCCTCTTCTTAGAAAAATACATCTAGTTTGGGTGGTGTCCCTTTCAGACCTGTGACTTGGTGTGATTGTCTGGCACCAAACAGAAAAAGTCATAACTGGAAGTAATTTGTTTGCACATATCGATATATTTATTATGACATTTTTGAACGATGTTATCTCAGTACTTACCTCGAGTAGTGCCTTAATATCAAATATTAAAACTTTGCTACCAAATAATTAGCAGTTGAAAAACCAAGTACGAGTTATATACAATTGGATATGATACATTTTGTGGATAGTAAAATATAAAGTGGTAATACAAACTTCTTTTTTTCAATCAGGTTGCTGAAGTTTAAATGTGCATGCCCGTGTGCATTTGGTTTTCGGACGGCAAATGAACATTGTAATAGTTTGTAATGTACAGTATATTTTATCAAGCCGATGTCGGAAGTGAGTAACTTCCATTTGACTGACCTTTATGTCTTTATGTTCTTTTCGATCATAGATAATGTCCGAAGAGTATATGTATGACTTATACATAACTTCCTACCAATACAAGGTCGAGTCATTATAGATTCACTCAAACTATTTCCTTGATAACAATTTGTGAATTAATTATGGTTATTTAGTTATGGCTAATGACTTAAATGAACTGTTGGAATGTTTAAAGTTTAATTTAATTTGAATTTGCTTCCTGTTGTTTTTGTTAAGATTTTTTGTTATGTAATGTAGAATCAATATTGGTAAATTATACATTGGTTAAATTACAATTTGTACATATAGTTTTAGTGTTTTGTTGGCTATGATTATTTTTAAATATACATTGCGTATATTCCATAATATTTTTTTTGTTTTACGATTTCGACCCAGCTCGGAAACCCAAACGAATCCGGTTATGGTATTCGGTTTTTTTATATACTAACTTAACCTAAAACCACAAGAGGGGGTTGAACTAGCACGGAAAGAAACAGAAATGACTGATTTGATTATTTTGTCTTACGTTTAATACTTTGCTATATCTACGGATGGAATTATATACAATACCTAGAATTTTATACAATGTCTAGGTAGTGTGTATAACTTGCCTAGATAGACTGTGGATCTCAAAGCACTGTATAATATGTATACAAGTAATTAATGAATTGATTGGGAGACCCAAAATCTAGCAACTATATTACGTAAAGTTTAAGCATAGTCATAAAAAAGCGGGAACGCTACGAGCAATTTGGGCACCCTGTCTTGAGAGCCCGATTTTAACCGTGTAATGCAACCCCATTCATAGTATTTTTAAGCCACCTCTATTAATAAATAATTTCGACTGATTGTCGATCGTATAATAAACAAAAACGTGTGTGGACAAACGCTGAAGTGATTCCATAGGGTTTTGATATTCGGAACACTAAAAACGAGAAAGTCAAAAGTACCTTGACTTTTTCTTCTTTTTTTTTTATTCTCGGTATCTTTTATAGACAATTAATTACATTGTCATGATAGGATAACGGAGATAATTTTGTCTGATACCATACATGTAATACGTAAGTGGGCAGCCATATATGTATATAATTACAGAAGTTAGTGGACTTAACGATAGAACACAACGTAACATCACCGCACGCATAAACACTGACGTGTAACTGAGCATTGTACATATATGGGGTGTCCAAAAATTGCGTATACTTTTAACCGCGAAAGTCTGTTTCACTTTTCGCAAAACCGATCAAGAAAATATTAGTCGTCTTTTACAAAGTCACAAAACGGTAAGTAAGTCGCATAAAAGAAGAATTTAACAAGCTATAAACTGGGTATTAACTGCATAGTTATTTATTATAAACACACCATTTGGGACCTATAGAAGATTCACTGTACACTTTGTTTTTTTACGATACTAGTTAAATGCTTTTGTAGGTATATCACCTTGTATAGACGAACTACAGTAACATGACGCAAGATATAATATGGACGCGAATTGGTCAATG